ATTGCCTCAGTGCACCTTAGATTTCTCCTTCAATACCATCAATTCTTAATCATATGCTACCTTCTGAAATGGCTAAGATCAACCATTCTTTTTGTTAGAGCAACTTAAAGTACCCTTACATTTTTACTCCCCTTTGGTAAGGTATAATTTTTTGGTGTTTGTTATTTTATTTCACGTAACATAGTTTCTTCAGGTTCATACGTGTTATATGATGTACTGGAATGTCTCTCTCTCTTTTTTGTTGTTGTTTGTTTTAGAGTGTTGTATTGTGGTTTTGGATGAAAGTTTGTGGAGCAAATTACTTTCCCATTGAACTACCCATTTTCTTTTGTGACATTGGTTACAATTCCCTGGATGGAGTAACTTTGGTTTTGGGCAAATGCTGCCTTTTGGTTGCCTATGATTGATTGCTGGAAGGAGAACATTGCTCACAAGTGTTAATGTTCACTCTATAGGTCTAGCTGTTTGGCTGAAAGTTGATCATTTGGGGTGGGTTCTGTTCAGGTTTGAAGGGTGTATGAGGGTCAGTCTTGAGAGTTCCACCACTTTCTATCAAAACAGTAAATTTGGTCTTATTACTTTGACTTTGTTCTAGACTTTTCTGCCCCTGTGCCCAGCACCTTCTATTGTGATCCTGATCCCGGTGGTCAGTTGATAGTGGTAGCTGGGCACCATCTAGTTCTTCTTGGCTCAAGTTAGTAGAGGTTGTGGTTCATATAGCCTATCAGCCCTTTGGACCATTTATATTACCTGAGTCTTTGATTTTCTTCACTCTTCTCTCAGAATAGCAAGAAACGGGTAGTATCCTACATGGCTGCTCATAAGCTTTTAAGATCCCTGTCACTGCTTAGCAAAATAGAATCCAGAACTGCTAATGGATCTAAATATAGTCCAAGATGGTGGTCCTATGCTGTGTATTACTTTATCGCTTCTTTCTTTCACCGTAGCTTTTCTAGGTTGGGGGGGAGGATTTTTTTTTTCAGTCTCTCCTGACATCCGTTTTGGTCTTTTCTTTCTTTCCTGTCATTTTAATCACGTTTTCTCCTTTCTTCCTGTGTGATGTGCTTGATGTCATCCCACAAATTGCATGATCTACAGTCAGTAATCTTCAGTGTGTTACATCTTCTTTTGAGATGGTTTCTAAATTCAAGTGGAATATACGAAAGTCATACTTTACCTCTGGGAGGCTGATTTTCATTTTCTTCAGCTTCAACTCGAACTTTGTGAACAATTGTGAACAATGGCTATTCTGCCCCGCAATTGGCCCCTGGCCTTGTTTTTGATTGAGCTCCTCCATCATCCCTTTCTACAACTGTAGCCCATTCGATTCTTCTGTTTTCCAGTTGGCGGGGTCCGTGTGTATGGCCACCTTTTGTGTTACTGGAAAAAGGCATTGGTGATGAAGAAGTGCTTGGCCTGGCAAAATTTATCATGCAATTTCTAGGTCATTCCTATTACCAAAGCGCTATCAATTACTAACCCACCTCTGTTGTTTTCAACTTCGGCATGCCAAGCACCAGTAATTATCAATGCATATGTGAGCAATACCAGTCTGCAGATGTTGGTAAAAACCTTTCATTTTCTTCATCGTTGGTATTAGTGGTTGGTGCATTTTATGATATTTGAATTGCCCCAATAGTGATTTATTTTTTTAAAGAATCAAAACAAGATGGCATGTAACTGATGGTAAATTTGTGTGGCACAGACAGTAACTGTGTATTAGGAGATTAGGGTAGAGATGCCAGTTTAAAAAGAGGGCTTTCTGGAGGTCTGTCATATGCCCTGCTACTTTGAGTAGCCTGTGGCAGTAGACTCCAGAGGGATGGGTGCGATCCTCAGCAGAAGCCAGCTTTTGTTGTGTGGAGGCAGGACACCGTCCTTGGGGAGAACAGAACAGCTAAGCTGGAGCGAGGGCTCCTGGTAGAGAAGGGTTTGGATAGGTTGTGGAGAGCTTAGCTTATCCTACCTGTACACAGTAGTAATAGGGTCTTCATCAAGAGAGTAAGATAACACAACATATCAAGGATGTGGAATCAGCCTGAGTTTAAACTCCAGGGGCCAGAAGTTGTCTTATCCTGAGCTAGTATGTGGAATGAGGAGGATGAGACAAACCTGAAAAGAACTGGGGTCTAAATGATTGCTTTGGGAGAAAAGAAAGCTATGTCTTAAAGGCTTTTTAAATTTAGATCATGTAGAAGTGTTTGTCTTGTTTAATTCCATATTTTATTTTTGATGAAAACATGCCCTCATCAATGACTTCTACCGCACAGTTCTGTGTACAAACTACACTGGCCATGCTGAAAGCGTTTGTTTGCAGATCTAGGTGGGGACAGGAGCCCAAGGCAGCCAGAAAGGGTCTTCTCAGGGCCAAGGTCCCCGTGCTGTCTTCTCCTGGCACTTGGTGTTGCCCTTTTTGTCTCTCAGAGGTGTTTTTTGTCTCTGGGATCTGTCAGAACAGAGACTAAGACTCTGAGTTTACTGTTGGACCAATTATTGGTACAGATCACGAGCTGCAAAATATTTAATTAGCGAGGTCATTTGAGGGAAATGAGATTTGATCCATAGGAGTGGCTGCTATTTTCCTCAAGGGTTTCTTCTACCTTCTTTTCACAAAAACCACAAACCTTTAAAAATGGAAAGAATAACTTTTCTCAGGATCTGCAAAAGTTTATTTTGAATCAGTCATGTTGTCTGCTCACCTTCATGGCTCACTTTCCCTTGAGCGATTCACAAAATAAATGTGTGCCTGTGGAGGGGCTTCCGAACTCTTTTTAAGGCAGCAGCCCCCTTTCCATGGCCAGAGATTCAAAATGGAGCAGGGCAGGGCCTGTGACTTCAGCCATGCCCCCTTCTCAAGGCCCCCAAGGTACCTCAAGTTCAAACCACCCTTCATGCCTCATGTTGACTGATGCTCAGGACATACTCCCCTGCCCCAATTTGTGCTAAGATGTATTCTCCGAACTGGGTACACAAGGGAGACAGCCTTTATTGCAGTGGTTCTCAACCTTCCTAATGCCTCAGCCCTTCAATACAGTTCTCATGTTGTGGTGACACCCCCCCCCCCAAACCATAAAATTATTTTTGTTGCTACTTCATCACTGTAGTTTTGCTGCTGTTATGAATCGTAATGTAAGTATCTGATATGCAGGATGTATTTTCATTGTTACAAATTGAACATAATTAAAGCATAGTGGTTAATCACAAAAATAATATGTAATTATAATTCACGAAATGTCTTTTTACCTCCAGTACTGCTGCTTTCAACATAGTAGCTGCTTTTAAAGAGTAGCTGGTCTCTACACATATGTGACTGGTCTGCATAAGTCCATGATGGCACCCACCCTGTCATATACACCTGTATTTGTACGGGGTGTATGCGATGGGGTTGGCAGATGATGTCATCACGCCGGGTACTCGTGTGTGGGCGTTTCTGCATGTGGGCAGACCCACCTGAAGACCGATAGAGGAACGTGTCTTGGTTCCTAAGACCATCAGAAATAATATTTGTTCCGATGGTCTTAGGTGACCCTTGTGAAAGGGTCCTTTGACCCTCGAAGGGGTTGTGACCCACAGGTTGAGAATGGCTGCCTTTATTGTGAGAAAGCTTGGTGGGAGGCCACATAAGGAGGAGTTGCTCACCAAGCTGAGGACTAGCGCCTGCGTGGGAATAGGCAAGGACAAGCCTGGGCTCTGCAGCCAGACGGAGCAGCTGTGAGTCAGAGCCAGGGGTGAGTGGGTGCAAGAGTCTCAGAGCCCCATGCTCTGGGGACTTGGCCAGTAGCTCCCACGAGCCTCTTCTAGTGAACCCGTGGTGAGCAATCAGGCCATAGGCATGGTCAGGTGGTTGTTATGAGCGGCGCTACGTTTGTTCTTCTGGTGGGAGGTGGACAGTTGACTGAGGATGACAGGCGCACATGGGAGTACCCCAACGCACAATGGGAAATACATGTCGCCCTTGCTAAAGAAGAGTGAGGCCGAGTGTTCAGGAGCCAAATGGTAGCCCCTCCCCCGGGATGGTGGATTCAGCGTGTGTGTGTGTGTGTGTGTGTGTGTGTGTGTGTGTGTGTGTAAGAAGTGACTGTTGCTGGTGGAAACTCTCGGACAGTTCTCGTGAGCCGTGGGTGTCCTGGGGCTGGCCCCACACTGCAATTGGGGGCAAGGGGGAGTGGTGAGAGCGAGGCAGTCGATGTGGTGGGCCTGACGTGGTTGGGGCGGGGGTGCAGAGAGGAAGGACTGTGGGTGTGTGAGAGGCCAGGCCAGGCTGTGGGGTGAGTAAGGAGAAAGGAGCTTTGTGTGCAACAGTTTAGGCTGCCAGAGCAAGTGTGGGGTTTGTGGCAGCTGCAGGCCCACGTTCCTAATATAGGCAAAAGCCCCAAATCCCACAGCCTGGCACCTGTTAGCTGGGAGGCTCCCCTGAGCTGACCTCTCCTTGGGCTGTCTCTCACACATCTGACTTGTGGGGGTGGGGGTGGGGAGGGGTGTCACTGAATCCCTTGAACTCAGCCCCTGGCGGACAAGAGATACCTGCTCTCCCCTGGGATGGGGCTGTTGTTGGGTTTTGCCGGAGCAGGGTTTGTTCACCTGTTCTAGGGCGAGGTGTGAGGCTGATCCAGCCAAAGGGGATGGACAGGCTGTTCTCCGGGAAGTGGCCGTTCTTGACGAAGCCCACTCAGGACAGAGAAGTTCTTGGAGGACCAACCTTGCCCCATAGAATGGAGGGACATGAGATAGGACCCGCTTAATGCTATTGCAGCTGCTTCTTAACTTTTGCCTCTCGCTTCCTTTGACCTTCAGGGGGATGGGGTGGAGAAGAAGAGGCGAAGTCCCCAGGCAGCCAGCCATTTGCCCCCAGCTGCATCGCCCTGAGCGAGCGAGGGGTGCTGGGCCATCGCAGTTCAGTGTGGCTAGTGTCATTGCCTTTGTCTCTCCTCTTTCCCTCTCCCCCTCTCCCCCTCTCCCCTTCTTTGGCTCCTCTTCCTGGCCCCTGTGTGGGGCTGCAGCTCAGCCCTGGGGAGCCCCTGTGGAAGTGGAGTCCTTCCTGGTCCACCCCGGTGACGCGCTGCAGCTTCGCTGCCGCCTGAGGGACGATGTGCAGAGCATCAACTGGCTGCGGGACGGGGTGCAGCTGGTGGAGAGCAACCGCACCCGAATCACAGGGGAGGAGGTGGAGGTACGGGACTCCGTGCCTGCCGACTCGGGCCTGTACGCCTGTGTGACCAGCAGCCCCTCGGGCAGCGACACCACCTACTTCTCCGTCAATGTCTCAGGTTGGTAGCCAAGCCCTGTCCTGGCCCTCTCCCTCCACCCTTCCATTCTCTGCTCACTTCAGGGTGAAGTGTACCTCTCCCCTCCCCGCCCCTCCATGATCTGCCCCCATTCTGCTTTTCAGAAACTGCTGCCCACTAACATTGCTCCCTGCCCGCCGCGTGGCTTAGCTCTCAGAGGGGTGACCCAGTGGTACAGGCCCCAGGGCAGAGATCTGGGGCGGCCAAAAACTCTCTCTCGGAGGAGGAGAAGGAGGCCGCTGATGCTCCTGGAGGCATTAAGACCCTGGTGATGTCTCCGCTACAGCCTGCTCATGCTCAGATCGCCAGCTCCCAGCCGGCCATCGCCCTGCCATGTGGACTTGGCACTGGCTTAGTGGTTTAGAGTCCCAGAACCTGTGGTGAGGCCCCTGCAGTGATGTGGAAGGAGCCAGGGGGCACCAGCCACATCCACAAGCCGGACGGGAGACAGCTGCTCTCTAGCCTCTGGGGCACGCAGGGCACCCCAGGCCCGGTGGCTTCGGCAGCCTGCTAGTTGTAGTTGCAGGAGTTAAGACTTTCACAAACGCAGAAAGGATAAGACTAGACCTGAACATTTTCTCTCTGTGCCGTTGGGGTATCTCAGGGATCTTGGCATGACACCTCCTTCTCTGGGGAATCCCTTAGAACCTGCCCCTCATATAAGGAAATGTGGCTTCTTTTCCCTCGCGACTCTCAAAAGCAGTAGCAAGAGCCGGGGAGAGACCTGGCATGAGCTCGATGGGCAGCCACAGTGTGTGTCCAGCCCCCTCTTTCTGTTCCATCAACTAAAGGAGTGGGGACTTCTGGGCACAGACCTTGGTCACCGCCACTTCAGACTACGGTAGGCGCCCTGCCTGCTCCAGGAAAGAAGCTCCCAGCTTTAACAAGCAGACTCCCAAACGGCTTTCCAGCTTTCAGACGAAAGTGCTGGCACACGTCTACCCAGTGGTTGGCCCCTCAAGGATGCAGACCGCTGGGGTTCTCGTTGTGAGACCCCGAGCATCCAAGTGGCCCCCCTGGCTGGGAGACAGGCTCGAAATCCAGACTGGCTTTAAATTAATGAGGAGCAGCTAACCCTGATGGGTGACCTGAGCCGTGCAAAGGCTCCTGGGCAGAGGGGGAGTATGTTTAGAGTAGGGGACAAGTAGGGGAGCATCGTTCTTCAATACATTGTGTGTGCCCCACCAGCAGGCAGTCACTGAGGGAGAAGTGGGGCTGGGGGACCGTCAGGGAATGGATGTCTCTGTTCCCTTGTCACTGGACTGACCTTGATGGGGTGGTTGTTGATATGGATGGAAATCTAGAGAGCCCCCTTTCCTTGGAAAGAGACATGAATGCCCTTATCTTCCTCCTCCTAGATGCTCTCCCCTCCTCAGAGGATGACGATGATGATGATGACTCCTCTTCAGAGGAGAAAGAGACAGACAACACCAAACCAAACCGTAGGCGTGAGACACTGTTTCCTACCATACTGGGCGGGGAGTCGTTTGAGAGTGGAGGGGGGGCCTGGCCATGAGTGTGGAAAATGGAGGAAGAGTGTGAGGGTGGGCACCGAGCTTGACTGACTGTTAGGGCGCACTGGGCGTCGTTGTTTGTCAGGTGGGTGGGGCAATTCCAGGTCCTGGCCTGGATGGACCCTGCACTGGAGCCTGACCAGCGTCTGTCTGTCCCTTTTGGCCTCGCCCTGGACAGCCGTGGCCCCGTACTGGACTTCCCCAGAAAAGATGGAAAAGAAATTGCATGCAGTGCCGGCCGCCAAGACTGTGAAGTTCAAATGCCCTTCCAGTGGGACCCCTAACCCCACGCTGCGCTGGTTAAAAAATGGCAAAGAATTCAAACCTGACCACAGGATTGGAGGCTACAAGGTACACAGTTGGTATGGCAGCATTAGAATAGCAACAGGAGAAACGGAACGCACCCTTAGCCCTTCCGTGGTTGTCAATGGTGTTTACTGACTGTAAAGTAATATAAGAATTTTTTTTCAACTTTTAAGCAGTCTCTTTTCTATGGTACTTACAGAGTTACGTAGTACATACGAGGGAGTACCCAAAGAAAAACAAAGTTTTTTCCCAAAAGCTATGTATTTAATTTTTTTTACAAACCAACCTTATCACCTTCAAAGTCCTCACCATTACACTGAATACATTTGTCACATCTGCAATCCCATTCTTGCTCCTCGCCTTGTAGGAAAACTGCGTACTACGAGAGCCCCACCCAGTACAGCTTTTTTCCCAGTTTATTATTTTTTTGGGGGGGTACCCTCTCATATGTCTTGTTGTTTGTTAATGTTCCACTATGAACCCTTAGTTGCCATGTATTTGAAAGATAATTTTTTGTGGCTGCATAAGATCTCAGTAGATTATCCCATAATTTACCTATGTTTAGCTCTTTATTTTTGCTCTCATAGTGTTGGAGTGATTATCTTTGTGCCTGCACCCTTGTTAGCATTTTAAAATACTTTCTCTTAGGACAGATTTCTAGAGGTGAAATTACTAGTTTAAGAGTTTAACATGTTTTAAGCCCTTGATACATATTACTCAATTAATTTCCAGAAAGGAAAAGTAATTCACTCTGCCAGAGCAGAGTATAAGAATGGTACATTTACTACATCTTTGCCAGCAAATTTGATAGATGGAACTATCTCATTGTTCTCTTATCTTTATTTTCTCTATTAATGAGGTAGAAAATTTCCTGGTTAGTCCTTTTCATTTCCTGAGCATAAATTGTCTGTTCATGCCTTCTGCCCATTTATATTTGTAGGAAATACAAACAGCAAGCTCCTCGTTAGGGTCTCTGATTATCCGGCTTATCTGTTTCTCGTCCTACCTGTCTTGTGCACAGAGATCAGGAGACATAAGAAAGGAGTAGGGAATTTTTTAGTTCACACACCAAGCACTTGCTGTCTGCCGGGCACTGAGCTGTGGAGGGCCCAAAACAATGCTGGCATCTCTGAATAATGAGAGAGTAAAACCGTGTACTCGCACCTGGGCAACAATCATAAAAAGGCAACGATGATAAATTCTTTAGTAGAGATATAGGCAGGACGTCCTGGTAGAGGTTCAGAGGGGAAGGCAAGGGCAAAACTGACCAGAGGAGATGGTTTTTGAGTGAGATTTCAAGGGCAGTCAGTCCAGGTATAATTTCCCGCTGTACTTGGGAGAGTTTGTAAAAGGTATGTTGTGTCAAGGGTGTGGGTGGCTTTGAGAACCCTGGTGAAGATTTGCAGAGCCCCTCCCACCGGGCTGTCAGCTTGCCTACCATGTTCTTTGTGGCTGTAAATGGGTCATTTGGACTCATTTCTGAGGGTGGTGGCCATACACCACTGTGTATGTAAGTGCCCCAGGGTGCCGGCAAGGCCTTGTGGGGTTCACCTCCGTTTTCCTCTAGACCCTCAGTGGAGCCCCTGGCATTACCCCCTTCAGGTTCGTTATGCCACATGGAGCATCATAATGGATTCTGTGGTGCCCTCGGACAAAGGCAACTACACCTGCATTGTGGAGAACGAGTATGGCAGCATCAACCACACCTACCAGCTCGACGTTGTGGGTAAGAGTGCAAAGGCCGCAGGAGTGGAGCTTAGAGGAATGAGAGCAGGGTGTTTACAAACAGCCAAGGGGCCCCGAGTGCTTACAACAGGTTGATGTGTTTGGCTACTAACTAAAAGGCTGGTGGTTTGAGACCCCCCAAAAGGGCCTTTGGAGAAAATCCTGGCGATCTCTGTAACCAGACATGGAAACCCCTAAGGAGCAGAGAAGAGAGGGGTGTAAGAGCACGATGGGGGGAGTGGGGGATAGGAACAGGGCAAGCCGTGAGCGGTGTGATCGTCTGTCTAGGTGGCTGAATGCCAAAACAATGATCTGATATGTAAACTCATACCTGATTCACAATAAACATTTAAGCACACACACAAGTAAGTGCATGTATAGCTGGTGATATCTGGATAAATTATGGATTGTGCCAGTGTCCCCCAAAAATGGGGCACAGTTCTACTCTGACACACCCCAGGTCACCAGGAGTCAGATTGACTTGATGCCCACTGGCCATGCCTCTGTAAAACAGAGTTAGGAGGATCAGAAGGGATCTCTCTCAGCTGTTTGTATACTGTAATATGGAAAGTACTGTGATAGTCTCTCCTGAAAGGTGACTCGAATTGTGAAGTTAAATTACACACCAACAAACAGACAAACAACTCTTTGCCATCGAGTTGATGCCACCTCATGGTGACCCTCTAGGACCGGGTAGAACTGCCCTGGCGGGTTTCCAAGACTGTAACTTGATGGGAATGAACCCTACTCGTTCCTCCTAAGGAGCCGCTGGTGGTTTCAAACTGCTGACCTTTCGGGCTGCAGCCCAATGCATAACCATTACACTACCAGAATTCCTCAGATTTTACACAGTGGTACCTATTTCCTTCTTTTTGGTCCACGATTGCTTATGACTTAAATATGAATGTTGTCAGTCCAGAAAAAAAAATTCTATGGGTTTAGGTACATCACAGTGTCTACTTTTTAATGAGTTCAGCAATGTGTGGTTCTCGTGGCCCTGCTGGAAGGTGGGCACTATGCCTTCAGCTCTGAGAGCAAGCAGGCAGGAGCTCAGGAAAGCTAGACCCATGCTGGGGCCTAACTCCAAGCTCATGGACACACTGCTTCCTTCTGGCGCGGTGGTTCTCAACCTTCCTAATGCGGTGACCCTTTAATGCAGGGTCATGTTGTGGTGAACCCGCCAGCCCCCCAACCATAAAATTATTTTTGTTGCTACTTCATAATGGTAATTTTGCTACTGTTATGACTGGGGGGACCCTTGTGAAAGGGTCATTCGACCCCCACCCCCAAAGGGGTCTCGACCCACAGGTTGAGAACCGCTGGAATCTAGCACTTCTGATTCTCATTCTCTGGAGATTGTAAAGCAGAGCATTGCACAGTAATGCATCCCGCCCTGTCTTGCTTTTCGGTTTTTCTTTTAATATTGTGAATTTTAAAAAGAAAAGACTCTACTCCAGTGCATTTCTAATAAGCTCCCTGGTGGAGATTGGTGGGTGCTCCTGGACCACACTTTGCATAACAAAATTGAGTGCTGCCCATTTAGTTAAGAAGGTGGCTATGCTGGGCCTGCCAGCAGGACTGAGTTAGTGACAGGGCTCTCCAAGAGAGACTTTATTCCTGGGGGTGCTTTGCCTGATCAGCTGCTCAGGGTCTGAGGAGATGTTCCCATGGAACGGGGTGCAGCAGGGAACACAGGGGGCCTCTCCGTCTCGGTCCAATGCACCAGGGTGTGGGAATGCTTCACTGGACGGTCTGAAGAGCCTCCCCTCTCCCTTCCTCCACAGAGCGGTCCCCTCACCGGCCCATCCTGCAGGCAGGGTTACCTGCCAACAAGACAGTGGCCCTGGGCAGCAATGTGGAATTCATGTGTAAGGTGTATAGTGACCCACAGCCCCACATCCAGTGGCTGAAGCACATCGAAGTGAATGGGAGTAAGATTGGTCCAGACAACCTGCCTTATGTCCAGATCCTAAAGGTAATAATCTCGGTTGGTCTCGGTCTCCATGGGGACTAGCAGGGGTGGGAGGTGGAGGGAGGCTCATGTCCTGTGTGCAGGCCCAATGCGTACAACAGGGATGCCTTCCTGACTTTCAGACACACTCCACTTTGTAACATGGGCGCGTGCGCACACACACACACACAAGCGACAGAGATCACAAATTGGAAGTGAGCTGGGAACAGTGGGGTGGGGAGTGGGCAGTACCATGCTGGTTTCTAAAGAGCGAGGAGATGACTTTGCCATGATGTGCCTTTGGGGTCAACTCCCCACAGGGGGTTATTAGTTACTCTTAGTTACTCTGAGTCAGCATTAACTCAATGACTGTGAGTTTGGCGTTGGGGGGGTGGGGTGGGGCTTCAGCCTTTTTGTTACCCCAGATTGAGGCCCCGCGCTAGCAGACATGCCCTAACCTCTGCCCTGCTTCCTGGGTTATGCGCTCTCTAGCCAGCAGGATGCATGATAAGGCATCGTTAGATCGCATTGGGAAGCAGGCACATGTCACATATAAATTGTGAGCCGTGTCGGGAGTCATGGCATTCCCTTCCTGTTTCCTGCACACTCAGACTCCCACTGGCCCTGAACGCTCCATTAATCCAGGGAAGGTAATGGCCTCACCCTTCGATGGCTCTTGCAACAGGAAGTCACCAGGAGCTGGGAAAGCGGTCAGCTCCTCGTCCCAGAGTTAGACTCATCCTCCCCTGGCGTGGCTGTCCCCAAGATTTACCGGCCATCCCTTGGACTCCCTGCTGGTGCTGACACCTCTGTTGCAGATGGGGCTGTGGCCTCGGGCCATGGCCACTCTCTTCATTGTAACCCCTCCCCGAATGCCCCCCCCCCCCAGCAGCACACTGGAGTGGGGTTGTGCTTTGTTATTTTTGACATTTAAAGTTATTTTTCAGTCAGATGTTTTGCCTTTTTGAAGTGCACGTGTTTCTTTCATCCTACTTAAAAAAATTTTTTGAGAAGATGCTAAATCTCACTGAATGTCTCCCTCGCCTTAAAAGCCAAGGCCTCTTGGGCCTGCCTGAAATCGACATGGAAGCAGGGTGTGGTCTCGTCTCAAGTGTTTGCCCAATTGACTGGTGTGTCGTTGGTTTGTTCCAGCATTCGGGGATTAATAGCTCGGATGCGGAGGTGCTGACCCTGTTCAATGTGACAGAGGCCCAGAGCGGGGAGTATGTGTGTAAGGTTTCCAATTATATTGGTGAAGCTAACCAGTCTGCGTGGCTCACGGTCACCAGACCAGTGGCAAAAGGTAATGGGAAGATGGACTGGGGCCCTGTGCTGGGAGTTCATGTAGGCCCCTGGCTGCTGGGGCGGCCAGCGCCGAGCTCTCCCTGTGAGCCTCCTATACCTTTAGAGCCCAGAGCCATGGAAAAATGCCTGGCCGGGGAGGCTGGTTTGGTTCGGTATACCGTGTTGGTTTCTGCTGGCTCCCTCTGTGCCTTCTGTGTGTTCCTCAGTTGCATGTGTGTGTGCACGTGTCTGTGGCTGCAGTTTGGCTACTACATTAAGAATACTTCAGACTGCAGGTTTGAGTGCTGGACAAGAAAAAGGAGAGAAAGAGAGAGAGTGTGTGTGTATGTGTCTCCCTCCCATCCCTTCTGTGTGTGCCCTCTGACTCTCTTTACCTGAAACCAAACAGCCCCCTGCCCGCTGGGCCTCATTTCTCCATGCTGCCCACTGCCCGCATGCTTGGATGGGCCAGGGGCTGCCGGGGCTGGTGAAGGGTTATAACCAGCCGTCGTCTTCTCAGGTCTGCCGGAGTTCCTCCTGCAGGGTCTCACTTTTCCTCTAACAGGTCTCGCTGCCTGGTGGTTTTTGTTGGTTCGTTTTTTGCAAAGGAGACGCTGGGGAATGTTTCTTCCTCTGATTCTTCCCCCTTCTCTTTCGTCCTCTCTCTCTCTCTCTCTGGTCTCTTGGAGGTCTGATGTCCTGTGCTTGTCCATTTTGCTTCCGTTGTCTCTTCTAGACTGCCGGAGTTAATACCACCGACAAAGAGATGGAAGTGCTTCACTTAAGGAATGTCTCCTTTGAGGACGCGGGGGAGTATACGTGCTTGGCGGGTAACTCTATCGGACTCTCCCATCACTCTGCATGGTTGACCGTTCTGGAAGGTATACACTGTACTTCTCCTCTCGATGTCCTGCCCTCGCCATGGGCACGGGGGGAGCATGCATTGTAGGACCCGGGGAGACACAGAGCTGGGAAAGGTAGAGGAATGGGCCCCACGGGCCTCAGGCAGCTCCCTGCCTGCAGTGTGCCCTGTCCTGCGCTGGCATTTTGTCCCACCTCTCAGCCAGGGCAGGAGCTTCTCTAGTTCTGCAGGAACGTGGAGGCCTCCCACCTGAGTGCCCGCATCTGGCTCTCCCCTGGTCCTGTGCAATGCATGCCCGGGATCTGGATTTAACCTGCAGCTGGCTCTTCTGCACACAGGCTCCTTCCGTCCTTGGGCCCGGCAGCTTTCACTCATCCACTTAGCCCTGGTGGGGCTGAGGGAACTGCCTGGTGCTTTCTGTCAGCCCTAGCACCTTAGAAAAGACTGCCCTCCTTCTGTAAGAGAATGCAGACACTCCATAAGAGGAGTGGTCCTCATCTCTCCCTCCATACTGGTGTCCTCTGATTGTAGGGGAGGGCGAGGCTCCAGCCTCCTGGACAGTTGAACTTCACCCACTGTAAATACAACCTGGCCCAGGGCAGCAGCAGTGGGCTCAATGTTGCCCCCATTTATCCTCTTTGATGGCTGACATTCCTCCTCTGCTCAGGGGCCAAGTGTCTATGTCGGGCGGGGAAGGACGGAGCTTGTGGCCTGCTCAGGGTGGTGGGATGGTTGGTGCTGCCTCTGTGAGTGTCCTGCATGTCTGGTGACTGCTCTCCCGACTCTCTCTTCTCTTCCCTGTCTCGCCCTCTGCCCTGCTTATCTGCCAGGGTCTGATAATGCCCCTTCTTGAGGCAGAGAAGCGTTCTGTTTTTGTCACTGTCTTGTCCCGTTCGTGCCTCCCATGTACTGCCAACCAGTTGTCTTCGTTTCTCGACACTGGGGAAAGAAAAAACAGAAACACTTCTCCCTGTTAGCAGCTCGGCCCTCTCCTTGCCAGGCTGCGGGACGTTCTCTGCCAGGCGCAGCCTGGGCTTTGTGCTTCGTGCCTCTCTGGGATGGTTCCCAGGGGTAGCAGCCCCCGTGGCTAGCTGGGGTGTCTGGGAGGGGAGGAGTGGGAGAAGGCCTGGGGGGTAGAGGGGTATTTGCGTGGGTGGGGCAGGGAATGTTCTGTGAAAAAGCTGGTGACGCTCTGTGCGGAGCTGTGAGCTCTCCTAGCCACCTCACGCTGACGGGAAAACAGCTGGAGCCGAGTGGGCTTCTGGTGGGAGTGGAGCAGAATGCTAAATGGAAGATGGAAGGCGAGGGTCACACCAGCCCCCTCACCCCTCCACACGCACATTGCCTTCTGACATTTCCAGAATTAAGACTTGTGTCTTGCACCCTATTAAGTTCTTACATTTTAGGAGTCGGGTCCACTGAGTCGAATCCTTAAGAACTACCAAAAGTAAAACTTACTCCTTGCCCACCCCCACCCCTCGTTTAGAGCAGCCCAAAACCTATTCGGAAATTAAATAGCTTTGCTTATGGTTTGGATAGGTGTAAAAATATTACCTGTCTGACCAAACAGATGATTGATTGATGGGAGGCAGAAGTCAGGAGAGATGGTCTCCCTCTAGGTGCTGCGGCACACAGGCATAATAAAGCCCCATCCCTGCCCTCAGAAACTCCTTGGCTATCAGAGACAAAAGACTCACAACTCTCCCCATTGGTCCCCAACGCTGAGGCTCTGTGGAGAAGGACATCTTTTCCATAAGGAGGCAGAGAAGCTCCCAGAAGTAGAAACTCAGTTCTCCCACACAGGAGTACCTGGTACCAATAGCCCAGCTCTCCTTGAGCAAAGAGAGCTCCTGAATTAACAATGTTGGGACTTACCTTCAAACCCATCCCTCCTGCTGGCTTCACGTACAAATAAGAAAGTCTTCAAGATCAGAGAATGTGTGGTCTTATCGGTGCCAGTCCCAAACTGAGTGAGAACCCGACTCGGATTCCACCTAAAAATCCCAGAGGGAAAGGAGATGGCTATTGTTTCTCTTGCGGAGCTAGGCCCCTATAGCTCGGGTCCCCAGAGCCTGCTAACATTCTCCTCACACCGACTCAGCCCTGGAGGAGAGGCCGGCAGTGATGACATCACCCCTGTACCTGGAGATCATCATCTACTGCACGGGGGCCTTCCTCATCTCCTGCATGGTGGGGTCTGTCATCATCTACAAGATGAAGAGCAGCACCAAGAAGAGTGACTTCCACAGCCAGATGGCCGTGCACAAGCTGGCCAAGAGCATCCCTCTGCGCAGACAGGTAACAGAAAGTAGATGGGGGGTTTGCACGCTCTGCACCACCTTCTCTCCCGTACCTTGGCCAGGGATTTCTCTTGGGGCCCTTGTGCTTCCCGGCCTCCCCACTGTACTTCTGGGCCAGGTCATTGGGTCTTCCCACACTGACCGTCCCAGAGCCGCCAGGTGTAAGCTGTTCTTGCCCTTGCATTCTCCAGTCTCACCATGCCCCAACTCGCCTGCTGCATGGAGTGGGAGAAGGCCCTGTCCAGACTGTATACTGAGAGAGTGCATGTGAACTGACCCAGATACCAGGCCTGAGTCATGTCCCCCAGACCTCCTCTGGTCCCCGCATGCCCCACTTTTCCTCATTGAAAGAAAGTGATGCCAAAGGGAGAAGACGTGAACATTCGCACTGAACACCACTAATTCTGGAGTTAAGAACCCATAGTCTGGAGTTGTGTTTTTGAAAAAAAAAAAAAAAAACTAGGACAAAATGAGAGTTATTAGATCTAATACGTTATAAAATGCCAAGCTGGAAATGAAATGCAGAGATCATTTAGTCAGTTCATTCTAAAGGTGAGTAAAGTGAGGCTCGGAAAGGCTAGTTGGTTGGCACCAGAAGTAAGAACTAGAATTTAGGTCCTGTGACCTTTTAAGCTTATTTTACCTAGTACTCTGTGCTGGGAAAGAACAGTGCACGAACCAGACCGCAGCCCTGGGTCGAAAGCCCTGCCTAGGACTTGCAAAGATGCTCCGCCACCATCTCCCTCTCCTTGCTGGAAGGGTGACCCCACTCTTCCCTGTAGGTGTCAGCTGACTCCAGCGCTTCCATGAACTCTGGGGTTCTACTGGTCCGGCCCTCGCGTCTCTCGTCCAGCGGAACCCCCATGCTGGCCGGGGTCTCTGAATATGAGCTTCCCGAAGACCCACGCTGGGAGCTGCCTCGTGACAGGTGATGCTCTAATCAGTGCGATCATGAGAGACTCTCCCCATAGGTACTCTTACCTATGGACGTTGAATATACTAAAGGGAGAAAAGGTAGACCAGATGTCTCCAGAATAGTAATTCCCAACTTCTACTCTTCACTGGGGTGAAGTATGGCGATGGGATGTCCTCTAAAGGACTGAATGGTACCAGCCCTGACTTATGCCACTCTTTGTTTCTCCAAAAGACTGGTTCTAGGCAAACCCCTGGGAGAGGGCTGCTTCGGGCAGGTGGTGTTGGCTGAGGCCATTGGACTGGACAAGGACAAACCCAACCGTGTGACCAAAGTGGCTGTGAAGATGTTGAAGTGTAAGTGATGTTTCTGTCCCCGAGAAAACCCCCCTTTTCCTTTCAAAGCAAGTGGTGGGCCTCGGGCCAAGAAGATGGCTCACGCTGTGCATAGAAGCAGCATTCTGAATTCTGAGATGGTGATGGCCATACTTTTCCCTCTCAGTGGCAACTTGGGTCGTGTCCAGGCGTTTATATGAGATCCCATTGCTAGCGGCTTTCTCTCGCCGTAGTCTCTCCCCCGTTCGCTGCCACGTAACTACAGCAGTTGCTCCAGTAGACTAGAGGGAAGGGAGAAGAAGTCCCAGAGGAAAGGGACGCTTTGGGCATATGCCGTCCCCCACTCTCCTTTGGCTTTTCTACCGACTTCTTCCCTTCCCAAGTAAATGAGTCTCCCTCCTTCCTCTGGTGTCTGCGTAAAGCGGATGCCACAGAGAAAGACCTGTCGGACCTGATCTCCGAAATGGAGATGATGAAGATGATTGGGAAGCACAAGAACATCATCAACCTGCTGGGGGCCTGCACGCAAGATGGTAAGGGCCAAGCCGACTCGCCTCCCGCCCTGCCTGTGGCATTACATTACAGGGCCCATCGTGGAGAATGCCGAGCAGATTCAGGGGAGGGAGTATCAGTGACAACACTGATCAGTAGCGTCTCATAGCTACCCTTAAGGAACGGGACTAAGAAAAGGTCTTTCGGCAGGAGTTGGAATGTATGTCTTGGGGTCTAGACTGGTGCCTGCGGGCATCCTCTGAGAAGGCAGGTTATTTAGCGCGTTGACACAATAAGGAATGTGTGGTGTGCCCAGATTAGGCCTCCCAACTTCTGCTTGAGAACTTCTTGGACCGGGTTGGGGAGAATTTTTTTTTAATCCAGATTTTTCTTGGGTGGCAGAATGCTCCTGATCTTCCAAGGGGGAAACAGGAAAAGAGGGGGTGAGGAATGGTGAGCGGTAGGGATGGTAGGTTCCTTGAGGTAAAGGAAACTCGGCCTGCGTACCTGCCTGTCCGCAGCCCTGATGGTCTCTCCTTCCTGTGCTTTCTCAGGTCCCCTGTACGTCATCGTGGAATATGCCTCCAAGGGCAACCTACGGGAATATCTGCAGGCCCGGAGGCCTCCTGGGCTGGAATACTGTTACAACCCCAGCCACAACCCAGAGGAGCAGCTTTCCTCCAAGGACCTGGTGTCCTGTGCCTACCAGGTGGCCCGGGGCATGGAGTATCTTGCCTCCAAGAAGGTGCGGAGCTTAACGCCTCCCCTGGATGAAGTCAGGGTGGGACCAGAGCTCTCCAGGACTCCAGTATTTTGACTTTGAATCCTAACCAGAAGGGAGGAAATGCAGAACAGAATTTCAAACACTTGTAGAATCCACAATTGCCCAAGCCATTGAGATTTGGTTGGCACCTTGAAACTTGCTCTGAGATAATCTTTACATCTTAAACCAAAAATAGCCTCGACGGTTTCCTTAAAGCCAAACAGGAGTTCAGCTAAATTCGTAAGCATTGTGCTTTGAGCATTCTGCTCGCCTAAGCTCGATCTCTGTGAGATCAAATGAATCGATTCGGAACCTTAGGCTGTGGATGGTTGCTGAGCGGCTCAAATAATTTGATCGGTGTCGATGCATTGTACACGTAGAAACTGTTGGGTTGGTGTGTGTTCTCCTTTGTATACGCTTAACAACAAACAACCTGTTTAAATAAGTTTATGATGTTAAATAGGTTGACCTTAAAGAGTTGGGGGGACTAGGAAAGAAAGCGGATAAGGGGGTGGTTGCTAAAGTCAGGAGCCAGGAGGGGTTTGGAGAGGCCGAAAGGAGGCAGACCTTCTAGAGGAAGATGGATGTTCAGGATCCCAAGTCCCCTGTGGAAGGGAAAAGGCTCAGGAAGTGAGCGGGCCTGCCAGCTGCCAAATGAGTGCTGCACTAGAGGGGGACCGACCGTTGGGCGACTGTGTGCTTTTCAGGTGTCCGGCCCTAAAGCCTTATGGTCCCTCACCCACTCGCCCCTTCCTCTTTCCCATCTCTCCCTTCCTTGCTCTACAGTGTATACACCGAGACCTGGCCGCCAGGAACGTCCTCGTGACGGAGGACAATGTGATGAAGATAGCTGACTTTGGCCTAGCCAGAGACATTCACCACATTGACTACTATAAGAAGACCACCAACGTGAGTGCTGACGAGACCCCTGAGCTCCTGTCATCTGCCCCAGCTTGCCTCCAGGAGGCTTCCTCCCACTCAGACCTCCCTGCTGTGACCCAGGCGGGTGGTTTGCCCAAGGAATGCTATGTCAGGATGAGCCGAAAGGGCACACCTCCCTGTCCCCTCACCAAACCTCATCCCCCCGGGGCCCCAACTTGTCCTGGCCTTCTCTGGCCCAAGCCACGAATGATCTCCCCCTGGTGCTGCTTGCAGGGCCGGCTGCCGGTGAAGTGGATGGCGCCCGAGGCATTGTTTGACCGGATCTACACCCACCAGAGTGATGTGTGAGTTTGAATAAACAATTGTTCGAGGGGGGCGGGGATTTGGGATTTGAGGTGGGGTGGGCAATCCAGTAGGATAGAGTCCTGCATTTCTCCCCTTGAGACAAGACCTTGTTGTGTATCCATTCGCTGTGTTCCCAGCTGTTGAAAAGTCTGTCTGTTTTCCAACACTGCCTCCTGATGTCTCCCTGGTCGTTAAGGACTCGTGTTGGCGCAGGGGAGGCTCGGGAGAAGTACGGGACCGGCTGGCGGGCTGGCCAATCTCTGTGCCCAGCAACCCAGTGGCTCTGTGTTCCTCCATAGGTGGTCTTTTGGGGTGCTCCTATGGGAAATCTTCACTCTGGGCGGCTCCCCGTATCCCGGCGTGCCAGTGGAGGAGCTGTTCAAGCTGCTGAAGGAGGGTCATCGCATGGACAAGCCCAGTAACTGCACCAATGAGCTGTGAGCACGGGGGATCGCTGCTGTCTCAGGCTAGGCACCCGGGGAAACAAGCCTGTGACTGATGGGTGGAGGGGGGCAAGGGTCTTTGGTGCGGCTCTTTTGAGTCGTTTGTCCCATGAGCCCTCCTCCACAATTGTTTTTGTAGTCTGCTTTTACTGGGCCTCACCTTGCTTGCCCTCCTACCACAGGTACATGATGATGCGTGACTGCTGGCACGCAGTACCCTCTCAGAGACCTACCTTCAAGCAGCTGGTGGAAGACCTGGATCGAATCGTGGCCTTGACTTCCAATCAGGTGAGACTGTCTTCCGCCCGCCCTTACCCTCCACCCGACCTCAATACCACCATCGAATCTGCTTTCTTTTTAACCCTTGCTGTGTTCCCATTTTCCTGGTCTTCCTTAGGTAGGCTCTGAGTCAGTACTGTTGCAGGGAGAATGTGTGGCCCATGGCTCCTCTCTCTCTCTCCCTCTCTCTCTCTCTCCCCCGGCGCAGGAGTACCTGGACCTGTCAATGCCCCTGGACCAATACTCTCCCAGCTTTCCCGACACCCGAAGCTCCACCTGCTCCTCAGGGGAGGACTCCGTCTTCTCTCATGAGCCGCTGCCCGAGGAGCCCTGTCTGCCCCGACATCCAGCCCAGCTTGCCAATGGCGGACTCAAACGACGCTGACCACCACTCCACCTGTACTCCTCCCCAGACTCCGTCTTCAACCGTGTCCCCGTGCCCGCCCCACACCCTGCGGCACTCACTGCCTTTCCTTTCCCCTTCCCCTGCTGGCTTGAGCCAGCCAGAGGCCTTCCTGTGTGGCCTGCCTTCACCCCACTGAGCTCACCTCTCTTCTTCCTCTTCCTCTCAACCTGCTTGTGAGAGAGAGGAGCAGGGAGGCAGGTACTTGCTGGCTGGCAGCCACTTCATTCCCTTCCATGTGTTGGACCAAGACCCCTCCCTGCCAACGCGCACTGCCTGCCCTGCCAACGTGCACTGCCTGGAAGGGGTGGGGAGTGGGAGCCGGGCAGGCATGCCAAGGGAGCTTACTGGGTTTTCTTGTGTTGGTTTTGTCGACATTACCTTACCCCGCGAGCCCCTGGCGCTCTGGTGGCAGGTGCCTTGTCCTCAGGGCTACAGCGGTGGGGCGTGGGGTGGGGAGTGCGTGCTTTGGGCCTCAACGGAAGGTGACCTCTGCTCCAGAGAGATGGTGCCAGTGGCTTATTAATTCTGATACTAATTTGCTTTGCTGACCAAATACCTGGTACCAGAGGATGGTGAGGCCAAGGCTGGGAGCAGTGTTGTGGCCCTGGGGCCCAGCCCCATCCTGGGGACTTTGTACATAGCTATGAAGAAAACACAAAGTGTATAAATCTGAGTATATATTTACATGTCTTTTTAAAAAGGGTTGTTACCAGAGATTTACCCATTGGGTAAGATGCTCCTGGTGGCTGGGAGGCATCAGTTGCTATATATTAAAAACAAAGATACAAAGGAAAAAAAAAAAAAGGAAAATGTTTTTTAAAAGGTCATATATTTTTTGCTACTTTTGCTGTTTTATTTTTTTAAATTATGTTCTAAACCTATTTTCAGTTTAGGTCTCTCAATAAAAATTGCTGCTGCTTGATTTTTATATGGGCTGTGTAAGAAAGGGAGAGAATGCTGACTGGAACCCCAGGATGCAGACAGGTGGGGGGGCGGGGGGCTGCCTCTCCACAGGTCTCTGCTCCTCCCAGCATTGTTTCCTGTTAGCCTGGACCTTCCTCAGAGGTAGGTTCTGCACGGAGACCTCTAGGACAGACTTCCTACCTCTCCGGCCCTCTTGCAATGGGCAGGAGCCTGCCTTTGGTGCAGCCGAGGGCCTGGGCAGAGGGCCAGAGCCGCCCGCAGCAGCCCTCAGCAACAGACTGCTTCCTCCAAGGAAACTGTTGGACTGAGGGGGCGGGGGTGTCCCAGGGAGCAGGGGTGTCCCAGGGAGCGGGGGCCCACCTTTGGAAGCCAAGGGGTAGAGCCCACCTGATTAAAAGGGAAGCTAAGGATTATTCCACAAGGCTTTGCAGAAACTCAAGTCCAGAAATGTCCCTGCCCCCTCCGGTGGGAGTGGTTTTGCGCATGTACTTGGTTCGATGTGCAGGAAAGGGTTTGGAAAAAGAAGAGAAAACCACTTCGGTCCCCCCACATTTCTTTTCCATGTCGGGGCCCCTGGCTTCTTTTTTCCTAACCTCCACCGGACCCTTCTTCTCGTATCCATGTGACCAGAAGGCATTTGGGGGGGACTCTCACGGAGCTGGGTTTCCTATAGTTCTTCCTGTACAAACTCCACCCCGTCCCTCTGGAAAGGGAAGAAAATACTTCTCTGGATGTTCTTGTGTTTTTTTTGACTACTTGGAAATTTACTTCTGCCACCTGCTGGTTGTCGCTTTGCTCACTAAGTGGATGCTGGCTCCCCGTCCTGTTATTGCTCAACGTCCTGCTCCTTGGCCTCTAGACTTCTCCCTTACTTCTTGTAACTCTTGCTGGATTGCTGCTGAGTGAAAAAGACAGCCCCACGTGCCCACGCGCATGCGTGGCTGTAGGAAAGGTGGGGGTGCTGCTTTAAGTTTCCTTTCCCAGCTAGGCGATCTTCGGCAGCTGCGATACTTACGGTGTTGTAAAAGTCTCTGTTTTCTCTGTAAATATGCCGCTGTCAACGTAGTAACGATTTGCATTTATGTTTAAAGAAAGCATAATTTGGTGAACAGAGCAGGAAATGCATTTCTTTTCTTAAAACCATTTGCTTTGAGATCTTTATAGTAGTGTCTTTCCTTGTAAACCAGCGGGATGATTTCGGCCTTGGCCCTTCCCTTGAAGCAGTGTTGTGTGGGTGGGTGGAGAATCTCTAAAGGGCTTTATATTCCTTGGGGAGAGGTGCTGGGGAAATATAAGGCTCTGTTATTATAGCAGTGATATCCTTGCTGTTACTATTGAAATCACCCACGAACTTCCCAGAGGCCCAACTGGCTGTCAACTGAAAGACTGAGATTGACCTGAGAGAAAATGAAATGGACATTTTACTCAGATGATGAGCTTGGGTCTCTGGAGAAAGGTATCAGTTTATCTAATGAAGTCATTGTACTGTCTAAGCACTGAATGCCTGGTTTCCTGAGGGTCAAAAGATGTGGGTCTGAGATCACTACCGCATTAATCAATACTGCCTTGTCTCATTGCCATAGGCTGGGGCTCACTGGTCCCAGAGCGCTGCTAATGTAATGTATCGATCTCAGGTAAGTAAGATTGAACCTCAGCTAGTGTGAGAAATCTATCCCATCAGTGAGAATGCAGTCGCTGTGTTTACCAGCCACCACTGGGTGGAGCCAGCAAGCTAAGAGCTCTGGGCCATTCCACTTCACCGCTGCATTAACCCCCTGCCATCGAGTGGACTCGGACATTAGGGACTCTGAAGACGAGAGTAGAACTGCTCGCTGGGTTTTCCAAGGTGGCGGATCTCCATGGGAGCAGACGGCTGCATCTGTCGTCAGCAGAGCAGCTAGTGGGTTTGAGCCATGGGCTCCTAAAAAGTGCCTTAGTCTGAGCTTGTCTACAAGTGCTCGTTGGCAGTGAATGGGGAATCGCTAGCCTCGGGTTTTAGTATCCTACTACATCTCTTTGACCTCACCAATAGGCGTCATATTGTAATGACTGAAGTACAGAATCAGACCTGGCATAAATGCAGGCCCAGACGTGTGAAGTGCCGCCCATCATACACTCTCTTCTAGCAAGGTTGTTGGGTGTGGGAGAGAGGACACCTAGAAAGTCCAGCCAATGGAAGGAGCAGTGGCTGGCAGGTCTATGAAAGCAGGGGCCTGAAGCCTCCATTCCTTCAGCTGCCGAGAGCCAGACCTAGGGAAGGTCTGCCGAACCCAAATGCGGAGGGTAACAGCCTGGCCGCATGTTCTTCCTGAGTTGGCACTCAACCAGTATTCGGGACCATTGATAACATCCTGCCTCCTAGCTGTGTCTTGGCACACAGAAGTGCTACAGTGAGGGAGGGAGCATGCTGCCAACTAGAGGCTTAATTAATTGGCTGCTCCCAGAAGGTGAGTGGCCACGGTGGGCTGAAGTGACTCTTGAGCTGGCTAGGCACACCCCTTCTGAATTCTGTGTTCAGTGCCGTCATGTTAGCAGCTTGGTTAGCCATCGCGTGCTGGCCTCCACAAGCACTACAACTCACTGGTCACTTATCAGAACACCCCTAATGGTGTTTCAGCGTGGGACGAGGTCCAGCAGCCAAGCACCCTAAGTGATGAGAACAAGGAGATTCCCCAATCTTCTCTGAGCTACTGTCTCAAGGATGACAAGTGATGTGTGTACAGGGTCATATGCCTACCCGTGCCAGCTGCCAGTGGGGAAGTTCTAACCCGTGAGCGGCCCGTGTGTGTCAAAGGGGACCTGGCCGCCGAGGTTCCAGTGGCTGGAAGTCGTGTCCCATGTTCTGCTCCTCAGGCACCTCTGAGAGGACACACTGCCAGCTTGTTCGGATTAGCAGTTGAGTGCATTACCAGCCCTGGTGGGACAGTGGATTATGAGTTGGGGTCAGCAGTTCAAGACCGCCGGCCGCTCTCTGGGGGAAAGACAAGGCTAGCTAACCCCGTAAAGAGTGTGGCCTCGGAAGCCCGCAGATGCTGTTTCATCTACCCTGTAGGGTCGTTGAGTTGACAGCTTGATTGGCAATCAGCTTTGAGTAGCCCTTAAAAATGTCTCCAAATTCAAATTCACTGTCGCGAAGTTAATGTTAGTTCATGGATACCCCATAGGACAGGGTAAAATTCCCCCACCCCCCATGAGTTTCCAAGACTAGAACTGTACTGGGAGTGGAAGCTTTGTTTTTTCTCCCCAGGGCTCCCCTTAGATGCCTAGATAATAGCAAAAGGGGTAAAGGCAAAAATGGTCCAAAAAGTGTCCGGGGGCTTGTTGACCTACCCATTCCCACTCTGCTCAAACAGCACGACAGAATTTGAGAGAGCCCAACAGCACGTATGAATCATTCCGCTAAACAGGATTGAGCAAGTTCACGAGCAATTCCCTTTCCCACATTCAACCCTTGAAATACGGGCTAATTAAAATAAACACGATCGTTTTTTAAAATGGGAACATTTTATCTTGAATCCCCTTGCTGAGCCAGTGGCAAGCCTCCATGGAATGCTGCAATTGCACAGTGGGGATTCATCGTTTGCAAGCAAGTGGAGTTCCTGAGCTGGTCCTGGTCTGTGGTGGGGCTTGCCTCTGAAGAGGACTGTTGTCATGGGCACAGTCTGTGAGGGGCTGGTGGCAATCAGGTGACCTCAGGCAGGGCGGGTTTACGTTTTACTCACTTTAATCGACTCCCATGTCACAGTAAGAAATCTAGTTTCGTCATCCACAGGCTGAAATACCTTTTCCCTCCTAACCTCTTCCCAAGAAGAGTTTGGGTCTGCTGCACAGCAATTGATTGGGTTATTACCGGTATGCGAAGTTTCTCGGCATCGGCAATACTGAAAAGACCAAACAACTATCTGTGCGTAGTAATACCGGTTCCTGGGGAACACAGGGATTATAGCAGACTGTAACAACCCCTGTGACTAACAAATAGAGACAAATAGACCAGAAAAATACACACCCAGCACAAACAAATGGTTAAGCCTTAAACCCTTAATTATGTTTCCTTGCAAAATGGGGGCTAATGAAAGCCATGTGTGCTGCAGTTGTGGCAGCCGCCCAGATTCCAGCCTCTGCAGGCCCAAGAAGGGGGGTGTCTGCCCGGACAGCCCACCAGCTGCCAAGCCTTTCTGATTTCCAGTCTCTTTAACCCCATTTTCTCCTCCAAGAAACTTCTTTATAACCAGAGAGACTTTATATCCAGGCTTTACTGGACAGTATACCCATCGAGCTCACAAGGTACTTGGTTCCCAGGGCACGATTCCTATTGCTGGATCATGCTGAAGAAGTTGGGGAGTTGAGTGCTCTTACACGGTGGCTTCTGGCGTTTCAAAGTACTTGTTGCAGATTCCAAACCTTAGGAGGCAGAGGTATCTCAGGCACCAAGCGGATTCCATTGTGTGAAGACTTTCCTCAAAGGGCGTATGCACCAATAGGAAGCGTTCAAAAACAACTGCAGAGAGGGGTGGCTTTAAAGATAGTGATAACCGGTAACGTGTAGTAGGATGGCATTGTTGCAGAGGACAGGAACTTTACAATTCCGTTCTCGAAGCGACCTGAACTTGGTCTTGCTGCTAACATCTGGAACAGTGAGGGCCTCAAAGGTCTGCTCCAAGGCTTAGAAATGGGTCATCATCTCAACCCAGACCCTGTCAGCTGGCGGTGCTTTGTGAATGCCACTGCTGAGGGAAAGGTGGGTGCTGGAGAGGTGAGCTGTGTCCTCCAAGGTCCTTAGGCCCCTTTTGAACTAGCTTTGCTGCTCTGAGATGTATTTTGTGAGTTGGCCTGCAGTGTCTAGGTTAAAAACAAGGACATTAGTCACCAATCACAATCCGATTCTATGAATAAATAATAACTTGCCTTACAGTCCAACACACAAGGAGCCCATATGTGTCAGATCTGGGCTTCTTGGCATTGGCTTCTCAGTGACTGCTTTTTTGGAAGAAGATCCCCAGATCTCCCGATGCACCTCGAGGTAAACCCCACTCTCCAGCCTGAGTTTATCATGTACCTTGGTAGTAACAATAAAGGCAAGTACACGGGGCCTGTGTGCCTTGAGCGCATTGTCTGCATATTGACCCCATCTGTGTGCTTACACATTCCTTTTTTGGTCTTTCAGGGCCCAGCAGCACCAGTGCACATCTCAACTCCCATGACCGCTCGGCCCCCTCCCTACTGTTCACTGGGTCATGCTTTCTGCTCTTGCCCCAATGCCTTCACTGAGATGGGCGTAGTGGACAGGTGATTTCTTATTTATATGCATTTCTTCTAAGATTTAGGCTGTCTTTCTGCTGGTATTTACTGACATCGGGGCCCTATGTAAGATGCATAGCATATGGAAACCATTTCCATCTGGCACAGAAGATAGTAAGGACCTGCTATATTGTAATTAGCCTCAAGACTTAACATGTTTAGTTTGATATACAATTATTGGTTGTTGGGTTTTTGGGGTTTTTTTTTAATAATTGAGGTAAAAATGGTAGTGGTTATCGGATAACTAAACCTCAGCCGACAACTTCCTGTTGGGAGATAAAGAAAATTATGCAGTTATAAATTCACTACCCTTAAAGATCACTAGAGGGAAAGAAATTTTTTACTTAACAGCTTCTTTTGAAGAAGTGATGGGTCCTTTCGGTAATGAAATAGATGCTGACTGTGGCATGGGTGGGGAGGGTGTAACTGGTGGCACTTGTATCAGTTGTTCATCCTGAAACATCAGAACTGAGAGTTAGATTATTGACTTAAAACAAAATGTGTGTTAGATCTGTCGTCACATCCATCACTACCAGGAACGATTAACAATGGTTTCGTATTCTGGAATGGGGCGCAGAGGCCACATCTAGAATCTAATTATACACAGGCCGATACTGAACTTTCATAGAAACACAGATCCACTGGCACAAAAAATATAAAAGAGCACTCTACTGTGTTGAAATTGTTTCATTAAAGGGGTTAAGATAGAGAGAGCTCCTTTGTTATTTGCCTTTTCTTAAACAAAAAAACTAGCTGGCCAAATGAATCCTTTTCTAACCTTAGTTTCCTTCAGTTGAGGTACAAAATCCACCAAATTCTCCTTAGGTTCAGGGGAAGTAGATGAATCTATAGGAATATCCATCTTTGGAACCTACAAAATAAGAAATGTTTTATACAATCATAATAAGCTTTCGACTCCACAACAGGCTGTGCTTTGCATGCACAATTTGCTTCCCGCTGCATCCCTAACCCCACCAAGTAGACCCTTTACGTGTAACTTCTGAAATATGTCCCTGAGATAGCAACGTAGCTTCTCTTCATGGGAGCTCTGGTGGCACGGGCTGGTCAGTGTGGGGCTGCTAGCTACAAAGCTGGTAGCTCAAACCCACCAGCCTCTCCCCGGGCGAAGATGAGGCTGCCTGTTCCTATGAAGATGTGCAGCCTCAGAAACCGAGAGGGTTGCGATGGGCTGGAACTGACTTGGTGGCAGTAGGTTTTTTTTTAATGTACGCAAGTTGCACTCATGAGAGAATAGCATTTAAAATCTGTCATTAACAAATCACTGACGCTGATGCGAGTCCTTTTCTCAGAATCTCAACCAAAAAAAGGGGGGTCATTTCTCATAGGTTTCTAATAACACTGACATAGTTTTATCAAAATTGATATCACCTTAGTGTCTACTAAGAAAACTTGGTAAATTTGCCTATTTATTCAAGTGATGGGTGTTGTTTAATAGAAGCTCCAGCAGGAGGAAAATGGGAGGGGGAGGGGGAGCCAGTGGCACTTTGGAGAACCAGTTAAGCTGTCTTTAAGGACAATTAATTAGCATTGCAGAATAACTGCTCTTGAAGAAAGTAATCTCTTGGCATATTTTAGAAAGGAGAGAAGCTATGTAAAGTCCAAATTGCAGTACATTCAATTCAATGTCTCCAAATCCTTTGCAGAATCTAGTATGTTATTCTCATTTTGTATTTGTGGAACATGGAAGTGTTTAAACAGTTTTAAAAGCACCCGGTCCAGCGCTTATGAACATGTCGCTTTCTCCTAAATCCCTAGGTCTTCCTTACCCAGTGTCTGGACAATGAGCCTGCCCATCCACAGTAACGGAAACCCAAATTCGGTTCTAGAACATTGTCCTAATACAAGATTTCCTTGTTCTTGTTCCCGAAAGCGTCTTAAAAATATCACAACAAAAAGCACTTCGGTCTGTTTTAGATGGATCTAGGAGTTTGAGTCGAATGAGGAACCAAACACGGGTCTGTCCTCCAAAACTGCCTCCAGTCTCCCTGGGATCATTCCTGGCCTAAGTCCCAATCCTGACTGTTCCCGCTGCCGGTGAGCTGATGCTGACTCATGGCAGCCTGTAGAGGGCAGAGTAGAAGGGCTCCCCCGCGGGGTTTCCAAGGCCATCAGTACAGCCACTAACTGCCCTGTCATTCTCCCAGGGGTTGGCTGGGGGGGTTTCAGCTGGACACCTAGTTAGCAGCCAACTTAACCACCAGGCTCCCTAAATCCAGATTTCTAGTCTCTGGAAATTGGAAAGAGAAAACAAGATGGCATTTTCTCAAGTACATTTTCATGCAGAATCCCAGTCTTTGGTTTACCCACAGGCTCAACAGTAAAACTCAGATGAGTGTTCACTAAGAATTACTTAGTCTAACCCACTGAACCCCATTGTACAGCATCTTCTACAATGATCTTTCTTTTTCTCTCCCTCCGATTTCTGAGTCCGACCGAGAGGTGAAACTCTTGGTGGTGAGCCTAAAGTGAGATGCCTCAGGGGCTGGGCTCTCAGAAAATGACTGGGAGAAAGAGTTGCTGAGTTAAAAGCAACAGTAAATGAGGAGAGGAAGACAAGTTTACATTCTAGCCACGTGCCTCTTAAAATTAATAGGAATATGGATAGTGCAACACATGGAAGAACAGGGACCATTCACTTGGGGCCTAAAGAAGAAATAGGGATGAAAAAAGTTGACTAATGCAGACTAGGTAGCAAAAGAGAAATAATACACCGAATTCCTTTAAGTGAAATTCCTAAATCAAAGGGAGCCTAAAGGAAGTAGCCCAAACACCAACGGCTGGTAAGTCAGTTCTGCGTGAGAGCAGCAGTGTCGACAGAGGAGAAGTGGGTGATGAATGAATCTTGATGAAAGCAAAAAGCCTCATCTTTCTCCCGGGGGTCGTTGCAGGAGTTGAACTGCTGGCCTGTCCAGTTGACAAGCCAGCACATAACGCACTCTACCATCAGGGTTCCTTAAAGGAAGGAAAAACCTTATGCAAACCCATTGCTGTCAGGTAGATTTCTATCCATCTTAACCCTACAGAGTAGGGCAGAGTTAGAGCTGCCCCACCGTTTCCAAAGCTGCCATCTCTTCATGGACACAGGCTGCTGACCAGCACGTCTTTCACCAGTGGAGTCACACCACCAACCTTTCAGCGGCCACTGAGCTCTGAACCAGTGTGCCACCAATGCCTCTTAATAGCCCTATGACCAGAGATCATTTTTTGTTTAATCATTTTATTGGGGGTGGGGGGGGCTCTTAAAAATCTTATAACAATCTATCTTTCAATTGTATTAAGTACACTTGTACATATGTTGCCATCGATATTTCCAAAACATTTTCTTTCTACTTGAGTACTTGGTATCAGCTCCTCTTTTTGCCCCTCCCTTCCCCCCCTCCCACCCTTGTGAATCTTTGATCAATTATATATTATTGTTATTTCGTGTCTTAACACTGTTGTCTCCCTGCACCCACATTTTTGTTATTCGTCCCCCTGAGGGGTGAGCTTTATATCCAACCTTGTGATGGGTTCCCCCATTCTCTCCCTGCCCCTACCATCCCCCTACCCTCATGATAGCACTCCTACCACTACTGTTCCTGGGGATTTCATCTGTCCTGAATTCCATGTGTTGAGAGCTCTTCGCTGTATCAATGTGTGTACTCCCGTCTAGCCGGATTTGAAAGGTAGATCTGGGTCATAGTAGTTGGGGGGAGAGGGGAGAAACGTTCAAGAACTAAAAGAATGATGTGTGTTTTATCCCGGTTGAATTGTCCCTTCCTTGTAACCCTTCTGTGGGGGAATGTCCAGTTGTCTACAGGTGGGCTGTGGGTCTCCACTCCAACCCCCCTCATTCACATCAATATAATTTTGTGTTTTGGATCTTTTGATACCTGATCCCTTCAACACCTCAAGATCACACAGGCTGGTGTGCTTCTTCCACGTGGACTTATTTGCTTCCCTGCTAGATGGCTGTTTGTTTAACTTCAAGCCTTTAAGACGTCAGATGCTATATCTTTTGTTAGCTGGGCACCGCCTAGTTTTTTTTTTTTCAATCATTTTAATTCGGGGCACATACAACTCTTATTACAACCCATGCATACATCAATTGTATAAGCACATTTGTACATTCGTTACCCTCATCATTTTCAAAACATTTGCTCTCCACTAAAGCCCCTGGCATCAGCATCTCATTTTCCCCCCTCCCTCCCCGCTCCCTCCTCCCTCATAAGCCCTTGATAATTTATAAATTATTATTTTGTCATATCTTACACTGTCCGATGTCTCCCTTCACCCACTTTTCTGCTGTCTATCCCC